TCAAGAGTTGCGTCTTTTTATTGTAACCATTTTTTCAAGAGTTGTGTCTTTTCATTATAACTATTTTGTCAAAAGTTGCGTGTTTTCAAAAATAACCGTTAGTTAGTTATTTTTTTAAGTAACCGCTTTATGGTTATCGCTAAAAATTGGATCTTTTCAGAAAAATCATTTAACCTATATATATATATATGTTTTAGTTTTCTGTTTTTTTTAAAAACCGCATTATGGTTATTTTGAAAGGTTGCATCTTCTCGAAAAACCCGTTTTATGGTTATTTGCAAGAGATGCATTTTTTCGTTAAAACCGCTTTTGTCAAGAGTTGCATATTTTCATTGTAATTATTTTGTCAAGAATTGTGTCCTTTCATTATAACTATTTTGTCAAAAGTTGCGTATTTTTGAAAATAACCGTTAAGTAGTTAGTTTTCAATTTAACGGCTTTATGGTTATCGCTAAAAGTTGCGTCTTTTCAGAAAAATCGTTTAGGCTATATATATGTTTTAGTTTTTCTGTTTTTTTTTTAAAAACCGCATTGTGATTATTTTGAGGGGTTACATCTTCTCGAAAAAATCGCTTTATGGTTATTTGCAAGAGTTGCATCTTTCCGTTAAAATCACTTTTGTCAAGAGTTTCATCTTTTCGTTGTAACCGTTTTGTCAAGAGTGGTTTTTTTTCAAAAATAACCGTTAAGTAGTTATTTTTTGAAGTAACCGCTTTATGGTTATGGCTAAAAGTAGCGCTTTAGCCTATATATATATAATATATGTTTTAGTTTTTTTTTTTTTCAAAAAACCGCATTATGAGTTTATCTCGACTTGGGTTAACTCTACTTGAGAATTGATAATAAATAATGTGTTAAAATCCTTTAAAGATGATTATGAGTTTAGGTTCGCATGTGTATCGAAGAAATAAATTGTATTTTTGGATATGTTAGCAAAATCTTTTTTTTAAGTGTAGTTAGAAGTTCTTTACCCCCGCGATTTTCGCGGGGGTTCAAGTCCTAGTAGAAATAATAATAAATCAATAATACGTCCTGGTTCTGTTTCGACACTAACGGGAAAACATTGAACCTACAGGTCGAGGGGACCGAGACCATTGAGAAAGTCATGGCTATGATCCATCGTCAAGGAGGCCCACCATATAAAGACCAGAGCCTGCTCTTTCAAAGCATGCGGCCTGATGTCCGTCGCACCTTATCGATAATGAGTCGAAACTTATCATGATGTCACGTCAATGCGGTTGCTAAAATGTCTCTGTCTGTTTTCAAACCCAAAACCGTTGATCTATCTTCATTACTAGGTTTTCTTGTGGTCTACGTAACTTTAGTTAATGTAATTCAATGAATTTATTTTGAGGAGATCTGGATTATATTATTCACAAACAATCATCAATTCTTGTTATTCAAACCGCACAAAAATAAAAACATGATTATTACGACTAGACAAGATAGTATTAACAAATTTTACTTCAATTCAAACTACGTTTTGAGATTATAAGGTCTATTGACATTGGCCGGTCCGCTTCAAATCAGTTCCGCGATTTGCCTATGAACTTTCTCCGTCATATGAAAATGATCAAAGAATAAATAATCTGTAACGTTTTCGCATAACTCGTAACTTTGAGATAGTCCCATTCGTCCTCCACATGTATTGATTCCTCTTAATGATCCGCTTTCGCAACATGCTTTTTTCCCTTCGTTAAACCTTTCAAAAACAATCCAAAAGTTATATTAAAGATCGATCTGTTGCATAAACTTGCAATTACCATGTAAGTTTTAGTTACCAAGTACGCGGACATCATGGTGGTTTGGTTTGGTACAAGATGAAGATTTGTTTTTTACTCTGGCTTTTTAATCATATTAAGTTTTAAATTTTCAAAAACTCAAACAAGGCAGTTGTAAAAACGTTTTTTTTTTTGGTTTTGAATAAATTTTATATTCAATTCAAAAAAAAAGTTTTAGTTACCAAATTGCGAAGGATTTTTATTCTTTCGGACATAGAAGTTCGATAGTTGTGAAGGGCGTATTTGAATCCGGATAGTTCACGTTCTAGTCGCCTCAAACCATTCGAAAGCATCTCGTTGTGTAGACTGATAAGCTCGGTGCCCGGTTTGAAACAAGATCCAATATTTGTACTGTCTGTAATTAATGAGGCTGGTGCACAATCATAAGCTCACATGTTTAATAATCCAAATTTCCTTTCTCCATGTTTATACACTTCCTAAGAACATAACATCATCTCTTATTTTTCATATCAAACTTAAACATATATATAAACAGTTTTTGAAATCAGTATTGATATGATTTTAGAGAAATTTTAAAAAATGTCAATTTCCAAGTGCCACTTTACAAAAGAGCCACCTTTTAAAAAATTTTGCAAAAATGCCACTTTTTCAAAAATAAAATTCATTATATAATTTATGTTTGTGTTAACTATGTTGTATTAGGGTTTAGTTTTGAATGTTTAGGGGGTTTTAGGGGTCAACATTTTTTAGGGTTTAAAATTTTAAGATATGGGCTTTATAAATCTATAATTAGT